CAGGATATGTTACAACTAACTCAGACTATGGGGTTAATTGTAACATTTCACTCTTTGTGTTTGAGACCATACCATGCAATGGGTAATTGTGCTGCAGAGAAAATAGCTGCACTGTTTAATAGCCAACACATGTAAATACTTTGCATTACATTTTGAATCCACTACCTTAAACGAGCTCCAATTTACAGACAGAAATGTCAAAAATGTTACAACTATCCCCGGTCTCCCCTACTGGGACCACTTATCCACGGAGCTTTACTTACTCAGGACCCAAACTGACGCATCATTAAATATTTCTCTTGCATAACCTTTGGCTATGTTCAGGGGCGAATCTAGATACGAAGCTTTAGAGGGCCTCAGCCCCCAGCCACAATGCCAGGGTTAGTGCTCTAAAATTAATATTAATGGAATATACTTCTTTCAAATGTAGTCAGCTCTTTACACATTTGCAATTTCAGTAGAATGTCAACTTCAAAAACAGCTTAAATAGCTGATGACATATTGCAGTGTCTAAAAATAATTCATAATAAATAATCACAGATTTAAATATAATAAACAGCTTTAAGGTGGAAACTTTAGTCTCAATCATTTTGACCAGAGTTTTCCAAAGTAAAGAACAACTTGTGAGGAGAGCACAGCTTTTTTTCAATCTCTTAAACACATGGAGGTCAACCAAATCATTAAGCACTTAAAGTACCATTATTCAATAAACAAAGTGGAAAATCTCACTGCCAAGAAGCAAAATGGTAAGAGAGTTTTTTTAAATTCATACAAACCCTCCCTTCATTCTGCAGATTCAGCACAGAGCATCATCATCTATCCTAAATCCAAGAGTGGGGGGCAGATTTGTAGTCTGTGACGCCAATGCAGTTTCAGCTATCTTGTTTAGGCCATGATTTGAATCCCATCAAACACTACTATTCATATTAGCTAGTACGTTCTTAAGAAAAACCACAGATATTTTTAAGTGTGCTGCTGGAAAGCACACAGTATCCATGAAATGCATGTCAACTTATTTGGTAAAACATTTCCGGCTAACCTCACCGTCTGCCCATTTACTCACCTGATTCTTCCTGCTCTTCTACAATCGCTCTGCCCTCTCTCTCCATCCTCCGCACGCCCTCGTTCCACTGATAATAGCACAAACACTGCATTCAACTACAAAAAGCACAATACTATAATCTGATGATCATTATTGTAATAGCAGTTGGGGATCCATTTTTGATATCAGTATAAAACAGCTTAGTTATGTAAAATTATCATTAACTGTGGCCAAAACAGAAGCTACAGCTGTACATGTCTCACCTGTTTCTTTCTCTCCCTCTGTGTCCTCCTCTCTCAGACCTTGTGCGGTCACCCAAAAGTTAAAAGTAACAGTGAAACAGAATTTACAAACTAATAAAAGGCACAAATTGATCCATACCAATTTCTAGCAGTATTCAAACTGAATACAGGCTGCTGCTGGATGTCGACAGGTAGCATCCTTTTAACTTACTGTCACCTGGAACTGGAGCTGTGCTGTTAATAAACACTGAAACCCAATTTAAACAGAATAGGAATAGAAATCTTTAACAAACTGAATCAATAAAGTAGCTCTTTTTCTGGCAACTGGCGATATGCCAGCCAACTATTACTATAGTTACTTTTAGGGGTGCTGTGATTAAATTTAAGGATGTTTTTTTTTAATGGGACCACTAAAAAGGGTCTGAGCTCACCTATGGCTGTGTTGCATTGGCTGCTTAAGAATGATATACAACAAGAGGTATCATAACAGATAGAAAAACTCCTGCAACAGATGAGTTGTACTTTTTCCCTCTGTATTACCTTCTTAAAGATGTAAAGAAGGAAAAGTGCCTGTACAATATTTAACATTAGGAGAAGTTAGAGAAAATATCTGACTCAGGCTGGTTACCACTTATATACTGGGGAGGCAGGTAAATGTAAACAAGTTGTAATAAAACCAAATCCGACATGATATCAGGACTTTTATGTCCACTAGAGGGGGCTGTGTGCTGTATTTGTTTCAGCCCAAACACTGCCGGTGCAGTGGTTGAGTGTTTGTCCATACCTATTTGAGTAAAAAAAAAAGTTGAATATTTGAGCTTTATATTTTTTTTTCCAAGGGCTGTTTTAATGCACATCATTACAGATATTCGATTCAGGAAAAGAAGACATTTGAAATCGAAATAAGTGACTAAGTGTGAGTGGAGTAGGGTTAAAAAAACAGTGAATCAATTGCTTAGTGGATATAGTGGCCTTTTATTGGTATTACCATATATGCATTTCAGTAAAGCAATGTTTAAATCTTCTTAGCTACAATCACAAAAACTGGGAAAAAAACCAGGTTAAGCCACTTATACTAAATACAAAAGAAATAAATAATAACAATAATACACATTAAAATATTTTTACCTGAGAAATTAATTGACTTTGACGGCTATATGTCTGGTTTCCTTGACATGTCACTGAAATATGTGAAATATGTCATTTTTCTTTTTCTGATGTCAAACAATAGTGTGTAAAACATCACAGCACAAAGGAAATATTTTTAAACAGTGTGTTTTGTTACTTTACTGTCAACACAATATTACCATTTATCGTCTGGTACATATACAAGAATAAAGAATTATTCAGTACTAACTTGCACAAACCAAGAAACATAAGTTGCAGAAATTCTGACTTCTTTCAGTGGTTGTGTATTTATTATTTTTTTTAAAAAGCATTACCTTATGTTGTAGTATTTTATTCTATTCTATTCTGTTCTATTCTTACAAAACTATTGGATAATATCAAAATGAAAACTTCACTATTTACCCAAAGGTTACATGTGAAACAATGTTCCAGCGCTTCAGAGTATTATTTATCCATTTTGTTACAACACATGGTTTCTGTGATTTCAGCAGTATCTAACACAGTAATAGGAAAATAGGAAACACTGAGCTGGCCCTGCACTTCCAGTAGATTTATTATTATCCAGGGTCATAAATATTGCTGTGGTGCAAAGCACGTGTGTCTGAGTCCACCATGGCATAAAAACAACAGTACTTGTTGTTGTATTATGATGAACGAATGTTTTAAATTTAAGCTAACTCAGTTTGTGTTTAGTCAATTAATTTGTATTTTTTATCCAAAGAAAGAACTTGCAAATATCGCTAAATGTTGCATAAGACTGTAAATGTCTTCTTTTGTGCTTAAATGCAAATTAAAGTGTAACACCATGCTTATGCTCTGTTTGACTCTTTGTAAAATTACAAAATGATTTGATTGAAAATAAATTACATATGAAGATGGTTAAGTTCAATCAAATTTACACTGTTTGTTTAAATGCAGGCTACCTGTACTATACAGTTGATTATAAAGTATTTTCATGATTAGGTGAGGTCAGTTCCATGATTTTTCCATGACAGTTTAAGCAGACAAAAGATCTGGAGTTTATATTATTTCACTGGAATGTAGTCATGAGGTCTAAAGAGATGTTAATGCCAGTGAAAGAGGGTGTGATTAGACCCAAAAATCAAAATAAACCCATCTGAGACAGGAAAAACTTGACTAGAAACGGCCGAATCAACAATCTGATTTATTCATAAGAAGAATGAATGCTCCAACCAGCTCATCAACACTGAAAGGTCCAAAAGACCAAAGAAGAACACTAAAGTGGATGATAACAGTAAATATACCCTGTAAATATACAGGGTTTAAAACAAGGTGCAAACATGAGGTTAAACTGAAGAACAAGAAGGTCAGATTAGATTTGCCAGAAAACATCTAAAAGACCTCGCACAGGTTTTGAAAAGCCATCTTTGAAAAGTTGAAACCAAGATTAACTTGTAACTTAAGAAACATGGGAAGAGAAAGTCAAGAGAAGAAGAGAAACAGCTTGTGATCCATTTCACTACCACATTATCTGTGAAACATGGTGGAGACAATGGGCCTCATGTACTAATACATAAACAAGTCCACACGAAAAATTACTGTTAGATTTGTGAAACGTTGCGTGCCAGACTATTCTGATGTCACCAATGCGCATATGCTAGTAAATCAAAAGCATTTGGAACCAACATGCACATTTCCTCACCCCCATTTCTCTATGTACAAAACTATGTTTACCTCCAAGTGAAGCAGAGCACATGGTGACGATGTTTTAAGAGAGAAGCCTGCAGCTCTAAGACAAGAATTTAGGAGAAAGTTTGACTGTAGAAAATGGAATAAGTGTCTGAGGTCCAAGGAGGAAGTGTTTCCACATAAGTGATGGTCATCCAAAAATGAAAAATGACTAAATGAAAAAAAAAAAACTTAGGCTGATACTTGCTGTGTCAAACACTAACAGACAACAAGAAAAATGACATGGAGAATTGTCCATGGCATTCACTTGAACATCTTTACAGACAGACTGAAAACACTAGAATTCACGCCATCTAATCTATCACACAATATAATTCAATTCAATTCAATTGTATTTATATAGCGCCAAATCACAACAAAAGTCGCCTCAAGGCGCTTCATAGATAATACACTCTGCTACCCAACTCTCAGTCAGTGATATTCTGAAAAGCAAATGAACAGCTCATCACTTCAACTTTGGAGAAAAACTAAATATTTTTACCCTGCGCAAAAATCAAATGCAAAATTACCGTCACATTTGTGAAACGTGCATGCCAGCCTTTTTTGTTGTCACCACGGTGCATATATTAGTCAATCAAAAGCATTCGGAACTAACATTCATATTTCCTCTGCCCCATTTATCTCTGTATGAAACTATGTTTACCTCCAAGTGAAGCAGACCACATGGTGACGATGTTTTAAGAGAGAGTCACAATACAACACAAAATGCAAAAATGCAGAGAGGAAAGACTGTCTTCTGCAATCTGGTCACATGAGGACACACACAGTGGGATGTTTGTTATTAGCATAGTACATGTAACATTACAATCAGGCTTGTCCATGACAGCCACTTTGTACATCTTTACAGACAGACTGAAAGCACTAGAATTCAACTCATCTTATCCACAGCATGATGAGATACATAAAGGATATGAACGGCTCATCACTTCAACTTTGGAGAAAAACGTCTGGGTTTCAGCATTAGTATGGCTTTCTTTCAGTATGTCCAGCACTGTGGTTTTGATAGTTTTCTTGTCGGCTTTGGAGAGGTTTGCTTTGAGTTTGAGCAGAGCCGAGACATGTTTTTCACTGTTGGGGACACAAAGAAGAAAGGGTTAAAAAAAGTGTATCATGTATTTCATGATTATGTTTATGATGCTTGCCTGGGGACTCTGTTGTCCTACTGGGAGACTTCAATGCTCATGTGGGCAATGAAAATGAGACCTGGAGGGGCGTGATTGGGAGGAATGGTGATACCTTTGGATTGGCATACTGGGATGGTGGTTCCCATCTTTAAGAAAGGGGACCGGAGGGTGTGTTCCAACTACAGGGGGATCACACTCCTCAGCCTCCCTGGATGGTAGGGTGCTGGAAAGGAGAGTCCGTCCATTCGTCAAACATCAGATACAGGAGGAACAATGCAGTTTCCGTCCTGATCGTGGAATACAGGACCAGCTCTTTATCCTCTTAATGATACTTAAGGGTGAATGGGAGTTTGCACAACCAGTCTACATGTATTTTGTGGACTTGGAGAAAGCATTCGACCGTGTCCCTCAGAGTGTCCTGTGGGAGGTACTCCAGGAGTATAGGGTGTTTGGCCCATTGCTACGGGCCATTCGATCCTTATACAACCGTGGCAAGAGCTTGGTCCGCAATGCCGGCAATAAATCGGACTAGTTGTCGGTGGGTGATGGACTCTGCCAGGGCTGCCCTTTGTCAATGATTCTGTTCATAATTTTTATGGACAGAATTTCTAAGCATAGCCAAGTGGCGGAAGGATTTCACCTGGGTTGTCTCAAAATCTCATCTCTGCTTTTCGCAGATGATGTGGTTCTGTTGGCTTTATCAGGTAATGCCCTCTCACTGGAACAGTTCGCAGCCGAGTGCAAAGCAGTGGGAATGAGAATCAGCACTTCCAAATCTGAGGTCAGCCGGAAAAGGGGGGAGTGTCCACTCCACGTCCGGTACAAGTTCCTGCCCCAAGTAGAAGAGTTTAAGTATCTCGAGGTCTTGAGATACTGGGAATGGAGAAGGGAGTGGGAGATCAACAGATGGATTAGTTCTGCGGCTGCATTGATGCAGACACTGCACTGGTCTGTCGCGGTGCAGAGAGCTGAGTGTAAAAGGGAAGCTCTCAATTTAACGGTTGATCTACAACCCCACCTTCACCTATGGTCCCGAGTTGTGGGTAGTGACTGAAAGAACGAGACCACGGATACAAGTGGAGGACATGAACTTCCTCCGAAGGGTGGCTGGCCTCTCCCTTACAGATAGGGTGAGAGGTTCGGCCGCTGCTCCTCCATATTGAAAGGAGCCAGTTGAGGCGGTTCTGGGCATCTCCTGGGTGAGGTGTTCCAGACACGTCTTTTTCTGTGTGTAACCAGTTTCCTGCCTCTGACACACATTCTTCCTAATAGCTGTCAGTAACACATCACCACACCTATTTAAACTTCTGAAAAAAGTGAAGGTGGAAAATGTGTCAGTTTCTGTTTTAAATACAACAGTAATTGGAACTCGTATTGGTGACACTGATATGTGCCTAGATGTACATGAATTCCAGGTTTCCACTAGTTTTACCAAATAACTCCCCATGAAATCATACACTTCTGTGGTGCTGATGCTTTCAGACACACAGACAGTCTATATGTGAGTGCTATCAACAGCAGTGTTTATGTCCCCTGATTCCCTTTTTCCTTTTCCTTTAAGGTTAGAAATAAGAGGTCTATACAGTTGGGTTTCCGGTGCCACATTTGGAAGAAAATCTTTCTTTTCACTCTAATTAACAGCATTGACTTCATCTGCACACAATGCTCTCTCATGCCAGCATATTTTAATTTCAATGAATGCTAAGAAGAAACATCTGAAACCAACTGAGATGTTTGGCTCAGTCTACTTGCTGTTCCTCCTCACCTATCGATAAAAAGTGCAGTTGTTTTTGTATAAAGTAAATAATGTCTGAGTCAATTCAAAAGTTACCTGAGGTCGGGATAAGCAGATCCCAGTGAAACGATTTGCATCTGTATGGCAGGAATATCTTGGAGTTTTAGCACTTCTGCAATCTTGGTCAGGATTTCCTTTAACCAGTCTTGTTTGGATCCCTGTGAAGACAAATCAGTGACGTCAGTTTAGTCTGCAAGTTTCCCCAAACTGTAATCAACATAACTGGAGTTATTACACTGGGGTTTCCCAAGATCGATGATGTATTTGATACGTTCTTTCAGTTTCATGAATAATGTCTTTATTTATGCACCATGTAGTCATCAACCAATGGTCAGATCTTTGAAACATTTGTAACTACAGTCCAGTTGTCCTTAAATGGTTTTTTTCCCTTCATTTCTACCATGTTTTAGTCCATGTAAAATGTTTGTATAAAATATTAATTTATTAGCTACAGATAAAAATCTGTAATTTAAAAATCTTTATGACAAGGGCACTCATCATCTAACTTATATATTGACTGTTGGTCCGTCATTTTCTATGAGTCAATACCTTTGTTCTTAACCCTCTCAGGCTCAAATTAAACTTTTTGTTGCTAATGCACAACCAAGTCCTGCAGTGGTACTTCTGAGTAAAAAAAACTCATAAAATATGTATGTGGGGTTAATCAGGTTGTTAGTTTTTAACTGTTGCAAATCAGCAACGCCTGCCTCGAGAGGGTTAAGGAATGAGTCAGGTTTTCCATTCCATTTCTTCTATATCCTTGGAGGCTGACATTTTAGCCAACTCCTCTGACTTCCTTTTTGAACTTTATAGAACTTTTAGTCAAAACTTCCAAACCAAATGAATGTGAAATGCAGCTGATTCTTATTCTTATGTTTTCCAGAGCTCAGCAGAAATCTGATCACTTTTGGGTTTTATTCATGTCTCAGCTAAAAAGTGCAGTGAAGGTGAGTCTCACCATTCTGGCAAACAGCTCGTGCAGTCTCTCTGCATTTTCTTGCACAGTCTTGTAAGCCTTCAGCTGACGATCCTTGTCCTTCAGTTTGACCTCTCCTTTCAGGAGCCTCTGGACATATTCCACTGTCACTTCCTGGTGAAGCTGACCAATCAGCTCCTGAATTTAGCCCAAGTATATAAGTAGTCAGAGCACATCATAATCCTTTTACTTAAACATTAGCAATGAAGGCAATAATGGCCATTCAATCCAAAACAAAGTTTCCTCCTTTTACCTGGTAAGAGGACTGACTGGAACCCTGAAGTTCTTGAAGCTCGTCTTCAGTGCTGTTCAGCAGCTTCTCAAACGTGTTCTTCTTCAGCCAGTCACTGGTTCCCACCTTCTGGTAGTGTGGCTGTGTGGGGAACAAATAACACATTGTTTTAAAATCTTTGATTAAAACATGTTAGGATTTAATCCTGAGGATTATTGATATCTGCAGTTGTAAAGAACTTACTTTGAGGATCTTGTGCACAGGGGTTAATAAATAAGTGTGGGCAGACTGTTTCATCTCAGTCAGGACCTGCAAACAGTTTTCCCGCACATTCTCTGGGAACAGATCGTGCTTCTCAAAGAAGTCCCTTTAGACAGACCACACAGGACACATTAGCTCACAGTGAAGTATTCTCCTTTTATGATGAAGTTAAAATCTGAATTTCCATCTAACTGGATCAGAAACATACCTGAACTGTTCGACACAGCTGAGGTTTGCCTTTATGAAAGCTTTGCTGTGCGGTTTGTTCTGCCTTATGATGTCTTCATGAAACTCTTTATACCTGCAGAAGATTAAGAACAGCTTTCACTTTTATTATCTTGTTATTACCAAACGTAAAACTAAAATGTATTTTCAAATTTAAATATTTAAAAGACAGCCTTGTGAAGCCTTGTTACCTCTGCATGAAGTCTGTCAGGTTGGATGTTATTTCCTGGGCCTTGTGTCGGTCTCTTACAGTTATATGTGCTGATGTCACCATGCCGTTGATCAACTGAAGACAAATGGATTGACAAATCAGTGGCAGTTTTAAGTTCTCAAAGCACTTTACACAGCAATGCACTTCCATCATTTTCAGATCCAGTTAAACACCAGGAACCAAACCCAGTGCTTTACAATGTTAGTGACAAACCCAAGTGATTAAACTACAGAACCATGGGAGGGTTTGAAACTGTGACTCTGATCCGACAGTAAATACGTTTCTATAAATGACCCAAACAAAAACAATTGTCTTCCTTGTTTGTAAATCTTTTTCTCAAAGTTTCTCAAAGTCTTTTTCAGTTTGGTTAATATGTGCAGCAGGCTGGAAAATATTTGTCTGCACTTCTTTGGAAAGTTCTAAAGTGGATAACAGAGTAAATGTCATTTTGCACATTTTGTTCTCCTATAATCAAAACAATGCTATGTCATTACTTCACCACAACAATTTTATTGCACAGTTCTGATATAGCAATGTATTCAAAGCCTCTCACAATGGTCAATGTGGCGGTGGTGAGGTCCCTGGCTCAACTGCAGGGGAGGAGTGGAGCAGTGAGCTCAAGGGTGATGGAGGGACCCCTCTTGAGGTGTCAGGGATTTAACTAATGAGGTTTCTCTCTTTGTAAATAATGAAGCCAGAGACCTAAGATGAGAAGTGTGTGAGCTGGAGACCAGCAGGAAAACAGGTGGAGTGGGTGCCGTACCTGTCAACAAGCAAATGATTTGCAATAAACACTCCTCAACATGATGCAGTGTGTCAGGTGAGTCACTACAGTCAACAATTACAAGTCAACAAACGCATGACTCACTATAAGAATCCTTGAAGTTGACCACCACAAGTGACGCCTTTCACTTTATATTAACACCTTTTTATAAAAGCATCAATTTCAGCCTCTTTTATATCAAGTTGTAGCAACTCTACGGCAACTGTACCTGGATGACATCATAGGCCACAGGACTGGCGTTGCAACCATCATCTCTTGTCGGCTCCTTTCCTTGATCCCACTCTTTCTTTGCTTCATCCAATACTCGGCCAATATAAATCATCAGGTCGCTCTAAACACACAACAACACACAGTTGTCACTTTTAAACTGCTTTCATGTGTAAAGATTTAATTACTGACAGTAATAATTACATCTACAATATTATGTCTAAAAAATATCCGTTAAAACCAGCAACTCTTTGATGCTGCATTTACACATCTCACTTTAAGCCCTGCAATGACCATACTGATTAACTGGATACACGCCTCAGATACACTGTGTTACCTGTTGTTTGCTGAGGTACTGCTCCTCCAGAGCTTTCAGTAACTCGTCAGGAAGCAGGTTTCCCAGTGCTTCAGTATTGATATTACTGGCCAGCTCAGGTTTTTCAAGGATTCTGGTACACAGAGCAGATAACACATGAGTTTCTATAAACACCCCAAGTTGTGTTTAGTCTATAAAAATGGCATTTTATTTAGCACATTAAAAAAACAAGAAATTAGCTGTTACATTTGTATTATTATTCACTATCTGTAATTGTTCAGGTATTTATTCTTCTAAAAACAATGAAGGACCTCACACTGACAGACATCCTCATGTTTAGTCACAGAAAGATGCTGCTTCAAACAATAATTGAACTGGTGGCTTACTCTGTATAAAACTCCTTCACCCATCGCAGGAGGAAGCTGCAGTCCTTGTCATCCAGAACAAAGTCTGCAATCTTTTTGAGCCTTGCGCTGAAAGTTTGATGGTACTGTCTTGCATAAAAGTTACAGATGTCCATCTCTGGTGGGTAGCAGTTCTTCACAACCTCCACCACCCGCTGCAGGTCCTCCTTCAGCTGCCTGCCCATGGAGTGGATCTCTGCCTCTATAGATGACTGGTTCACGGGATCACCAATGGGGCTTGATGGATTATCCATACGCCCATTTACTAATTTTTGAAGCACTTCATCATGGTGTTTCTTCCACTTCTTGGGCCTCCAGGCTGGTGGAGTCTGGCATCTTTGTTTCCACAGCTGGTCCTGCTCTTCCTCAAGGTTGATGGCTTTCACCGCAGATGTCAAAGCAGACACCTCTTCCTCAGTGCTGAGAGAAAGACTCTTCTGCAGAATCTGCCATACACGCTCTTCAAGGGCTTTATGGTCTGCAGCAACCTTTTCTACTGCTTCCTTGTTGGCCTCAGCCTCAGCTGTCTCCCAAAACAGATGTTTCTCCCTGTCTATCAGTTGCTGAGTGGCCTCACAAAAGGCTTGCATTTCAAGGTATTCCTCAAACGTAGATTTCACTGGTGGACAATAACAAAGACAAATCTTTGAATTTCTTTTAGATTAGTACTATTTTATAGTTCAATCACCCAGGCTCTCTGGGGTTCTCTTGGTATTTATCACTAAACATCTAAACAAATCTTCCTAAACAGTGAAATGAATGCTGCACATGTACTATATACACATAATTAAATATCATGAAAATAATTGTAATTAAACTTATGCCATGGATATTAACATGGGATTCAACAAATAAAAAAATATTTGTACTTCCCACCTTCCACCGAGGAGCGCCTATCCTCGTGTCCTTTCCGTCTAAAAGAAAACTCTCTCTTAACAGTATTATTGGGATCTGAAAGAAAAAAGCACACAGTTTAATGAAGTTTGAATAACAGACTGCAGACATGAGTTCTGGTCTTTTGTTTTCTTCACTTTCCACAGACAAGCATCAGCAGTGCTTTTTGTTGTGAACTCAGTGTCAAAAAAAATGTTGTCTTTTTGCCCATTATTGTCATGTGTAGCTGTGGCAGGCATGAAGGAGGTGGACCCAAGTGCAGAACTCAAACATGAAGGATGAACTAAAGGTGGCAGTTTTATTGCTGGGGAAATTGTTAAAAGCGTAAACTCACAAGAAACACCAAAATTTAGAAAAATGGAAAATAATAACAAAAACACTGGGAAAAGAAAACTTACACCAAGAAACTACAAATGAGGAGCTACACTGAAACTAGAAACACATGGAGATTTACACACATGAGGAGGTACGATGTGACAAAGGGCAAAGAAAAGCACAGGGCTTAGATATTCAGAGGAGTAATAAGGGAAACAGGAGCGAGCTCTGCCGCAAGCTTTTCTACTGCTTCCTTGTTAGCCTCAGCTGTCTCCCAAAACAGATGCTTCTCCCTGTCTATCAGTTGCTGAGTGGCTTCACAAAAGGCTTGCATTTCAAGGTATTCCTAAAATGTAGGTTTCACTGGTGGACAAAAACAAAGAAAAATTGTTTTTAATTATCAGCACTATTTAATAGATGAATCGCCCAGGCTCTGTTAAACTGCTTTGATACTTTCTCAAGTTTTCACCCCTAAAGATGAAACAGGTCAGAAGAAGCGTTTATAGCCATTATTTTTTTGTTTTTGTTCCACAATTTTACTGTGGAAAACACTTTTAATTATAACATGTTTCCTACTGCAACTTTGGACCTCTGACCTTTATAACGATTTGAATACATGTCCAATGTTCCTGAATAAGTTTTGTTGGGAAACAAAATAAACAGATCAAAAAATGTTTGATATTTATCACTAAACATTTAAACAAATCTTACTAATGAGTGAAATGAATGCTGCACATGTAAAATATGCACATAATAATTAATAATAAGAAAATAAGAAAAATAATTATAATGAAACTTTCAACTATATTAAAATGGAGTTCAACAAATAAAAAATAAAAAATATTTGTACTTCCCACCTTTTTCCTCCTTCGAGTCTTTAGAAGGGAGTGTATCCACTTCCCTTTTCCATCTCCATAGAAAAGATTCGCTCATTCTCTTTAATCTTTTATCAAACATACGGGGTTCTAAAAAAGAAAAGCAAACATTTTAATGTAGTTTGAATAACAGACTGCAGGTTTTCTCCCCTTTCCACAGACAAACATCAGCAGTGCTTTTTGTTATGAACTCAGTGCCCAAAAAATTATTGTTGTTTTTTTGTCCACTATAATGACCACCGCAGAGAACATTTTATTAAACATTTTACCGAGAAAAAATCCTGTGCAGATTTTAGCCACTTTGGTTTGTTCTTTCATGACTGCATGATTGTAAATATGAAATCTGATAAAAGGGCTTTTTAACAGTCATTTGGAGTTTTTATAGTAAGGTCAGGGGTAACAATCCATGCATTAATGAGGTACATTTAGTTGTTAATATACTGGTTGTCCAGCCATCAAAAAACTGTAAGTCCAAAGTGTCACATATAAATGAATATTGGCATTTACGTGGTTTCATTTTTACAGTGCATGGTTAAGTTAGCAATTACATCCTGGAAATATTCTAGATTTGCAAAAATGTACCACTTTACATACATTAAATATTTTTTTAACACATAGATTATTGACCAGGTTAAAAATATTATTTGAAGGCATCAAATCAGGATTCAGGAAACTGTGATGAATATAATCACTAATAAATGTTAATGTTACACTACTAAATACAAATAGCAGCTTTACTTAGTCTAAGGAGCTTGGAAAGACAAGCATCTGGACTTCTTTAAGTTGCTTGAAGACGTTTCACCTCTCATTGGCAGTGTTGGGTAAGTTACTTTAAAATAGTAACTTAGTTACATTACTAGTTACTTCTCTCAAAAGTAACTCAGTTACTTCAAGTTACTCGTTACTTTCAAAGTAACTAGTTACTAGGGAACGTAACTTTGGTTTTACTCAGAATTCTCTTGTTAATGTGTTGCTTCCATAACTTTGCCAGTCTTCTAGCTTGCTTACTTGCCACAGTGCACTGTGCCACCGACCAATAGAAAGGAAAAGATAATGTGCATATTTCCACGAGAGAAATCCCACGCCTGGACCGTCATTGACCGCCGCCATGATTCTAGCCTACGTCACAGCGTCATGTGCGCCTTTTACATCCAACACAAAAACCGCAGTCGTGGTGCTTTGATTGTACTCAGAACTCAGAAATTCTGCCTTCTGAATAGGAAGATGTAGGTAACACCAGACTGCAGATGAGCTGCATACAGGGCTGGACTGGGACAAAAAAAATCAGCCCGGGCATTTTGACTAGAGACCAGCCCACTATTATAGGAAAAATCATAAAGCCTTTGAATGAAAATAAACACTGTTGTGACAGTGATGTTCACTGTTCTGATGGTATATATGCATCAATCTATCAATCGTTTGTTGTAAGATTCAGATAATTATTTTTTAAAAGCGAGACATTTTGAATGAGAATAAGAAAGAAAAGTATTTCTTTTTGCCCCCCTCTCCCTGTTAATGTCCTACCTGCCCCCTGGCAACACTTTGCTAGATCCGCCCCTGCACAGTTACCAGCTGTCAGCTACATAAAAAAGGATCCTGGTGTTATTTGTCTCTCCGAAACAGTTCATAACTTCAACTCATTCATGTCACCTAAAAGGTAAACCTGTTTCTCCATCACAGCTCTGATGATTCAGTAAGGACATCTCCTGGTTTCATCTTCATGTTTCCCTCTCACCAGATAACCAAACCATATCATGACCAGCAGCTTTTTTGCAGATGTGGCTCCAGCAAACATCAGCTGATACTAGAAATTAATATTAAATAAATTCTAACAACAGCTGATCAAGCTTAAACGTGCTGCTGTTGTTTAGCGCAACATCCGCTGGTTTCCTCTTTCTGGCGCAAAGTGGACGATAAACAAACAAGAGAGCCGATCAGCTGATCATTGATCAGTTTCATGATTGAAGTAGAAACAGGAGAGGGAGGGGGGAGAATGAGAAGCAGCTGTGCAGCGTAAAGACAGAATAACTCCAGCTTTGTGTCTTTTTCATTGTAGCTGAATTACGGGACAAACTGTTCCTTTTCACCTCAATAAGAAATGCGTAATATTTCCTCTGAATACCAGACGGGACGGTTGGCAACTCTAATAACTTATGAACAAAATAAAGTTCAACATCAGTAACATCATAGCACCCACCCAGCTGTATAGAAACTCCGTCATGCTAGCTAGCACGCAGTACGAAAAAGTCAGAATAACGAAAATAAACTCCACCTAAACTTGGTTTATATCTGACCCAGAGAGACTGCAGGTCATAACTTCTTACCTGAAGTTCAGTTCACACTTGGACCGGCGGCCGCCTAGGGTCTCTTTTCCTTCTGCGTCCCTTTTCCTTCATCCACCTGCTGGCCTCCACCACTTGCTAATGTTACTGAATCTGTGGAAGCTCCGCGATAGCCACCACACGAAGTAACGAGTAACGACCCTATCTAAATCCCAGTAACGACTAACGTGTTCCTGATTTTGGCATAATAACTAGTTACCGTGCTCGTTACCACAATAATAACGTAGTTACTGTAACGCGTTACTTAATAACGCGTTAGTCCCAACACTGCTCATTGGAGAAGCTTCTCCAGTTCTGGGGTCAAATGGTGAAGAGTCCCAGATTTAAGCCCTGTGGGAGTGTGGTGGTCCCCCCCCGCCCCTCAATGAGCCTCTAACTAATCACATGAGCCAAGGTGTGAAGACGGGTGTGGGTCAGCCAAGGTTTCGGGTGAGCTCATTGTGAAACCTGGCCCCACCCTATCATGTGATTTCCTGAGGTCAGATGGCCCAGGATGTGAGTGGGCGTTAAGGCATCTGGGAAGGGATCTCAGAACTGGATTATAGATGGCAGACAGTTGGTGTCGTAAGCCATGAGGCAGTGTAGTTCACAGTCAGCCAAGGAAATCATGTCCAGAACAGAAGCCACAGTGAACATAGATGGCTTCTTTCACTCTTCTTTCAAACCATCAGTCTTCTCTGTTCAAAATGTGAACATTGGCATCCTCAAAAGAGTGACCTTTGTCCTTTAGATGCAGATGGACAGCCGAGACTTGTCCCGTTGAGGTGGCTCTTCTATGTTGTGCCATGCGTTTATGAAGTGGCTGTTTGGTCTCTCCAGTGTAGCGGTCTGGGTATTCCTCGCTACACTCTACAGCATACACTACATTGTTAAGCTTGTGTTTAGGAGTTTTGTCTTTGGGATGAACCAGTTTTTGTCTGAGTGTGTTGCTGGGCCTGAAGTACACTGGGATGTCGTGCTTGGAGAAGACTCTCTGGAGTTCCGATACACCGGCTACAACAATGTTGTTTCGTTTGTCTTTCAGAGCCTCCCTAGTTGGTGTCTGATCTTCTTTTCTGTGCATCTTTGCTGACCTGTGAACCGCATGTTTTAAAAGCTTCCTTTACATGTACACTTTCCCCCTGAGATCCATTTCCAGACACCTTAACGCCCACTCACATCCTG